AACCGTCTGTAGTTGCAGATGTCCCTGCTCAGTGCAGAGGCTGGACCAGACGACCTTTAAAGGTCTCTTCCAACCCAAAATGTTGTGTGGTTTTACGATAGTTATCCCAATTACCACAGCCAAGGTGATTACACTCAGTGCCTTCAAAAAATGCCTCAGAGCCACCTCAGCTCTGGGGTTGCAGCTGGGATGAGGTCTCAGGGAGAGCTCCAGGGGCCCATGGGGCCACTCACAACGTTATTATTATTTTTGTGGGGGAAAAGGTGCCACCACCCGAGCCAGTGACTGCCCCACACATCCTTCCTGCCTGGCCGGAGGAAACGCTCAGTGAGAACCCAGCGCAGCTCCTGGGTGTGTGGCCATGCCCTTCAGAGGCCCCAGCCCCACTATCAAAACCTTGCCACACAACCCCAGCGTGGTTTCTAGGACCGGCACAGAGGGCGCCCCTTCACACAGCGCTCCTGGCCCGCTGGCAAAGGCAAACGTACCCTGTGCCGTGCTGGTGGCAGCCGGGTCTGATTCCTGGGCCGCCCACGCGAGCTAAATTTGCTGTTGCCACGCTTGGCAGAGGAGAGGATTTGGGAACAGGGTGACGCACCAGTGACACCAAATCGCCTCCGCTAGCTGTGACTTCAAAGTGGGGCAAAGCTGGAAGTGGGCAGATTCAGGCTGGATGTGAGGAAGAAGTTCTTCACCATGAGAGTGGTGAGACCCTGGAATGGGTTGCCCAGGGAGGTGATTGAAGCCCCATCCCTGGAGGTCTTTAAGGCCAGGCTGGATGAGGCTCTGGGCAGCCTGATCTAGTGGGAGGTGTCCCTGCTCATGGCAGAGGGGTTGGAACTGGGGGATCCTTGTGGTCCCTTCCAGCCCTGACAGATTCTGATCTGTTTTAGCAGAGGACTTTGGAGCCCTAATGGCTCAATGGTTGGACTTGATAATCTTGGAGGTCACTTCCAACCTAAACGATTCTATGATTCTATGAAAATGCAAAGATTATTTGCATAATGCTTAACTATGATAGTTAATTTACAATGCAAGCTTGGTAGAATTTTAACAGTTCTTAATATAAAGTAAAAGACATTCTGTCAAAACAGTTAATTTTAAAAAACCTAGGAGTTTTTTAAAATGCAGATTTGTTTAGTGTATTAATTTTCAGCATTCCATTGCTAATGACCCAGTAACTTAGAAGAAATGTATATACTAGAAACCAGAAGGCCCCTCAATTTTTGGATAGAGTTTCTCAATTCCATATTCTTTTGTTTAAGGACTTGTGTTTTTTTTCTGGGCGTTTTTTTTTGTTGTTGTTGTTGTTGTTTTTCCCTTTTAATTTTTTATCTGTATTGGCATCACAAAGATAGAATTTCTAGCCAGTAAGGAATTAGGCAACAGAAAAAAAATCATCTGATGTGTCAAAAGAGGACAACTCACACCACGCTCAGGAGACTTGTAATTGCAGAAAATTAAATTGGATGGTATCCCACAAAGAATAGCTTTAACGACTCAGTTCTGCTGGGTGCTGACTGTCATCAAACCCCACTGAAATCAGTTCTGAAGTAATTGCAAAATAAGCACTGACCACATGCTCACACTTCAGAAACGTTATGCCCCTTCCACACTGAATACATTCCACCTTGTATCAATGCTAAACAAAAGTGTCTGCACTAAGTACAACATTTCACTTCTACAAATGAGATTAGCCCCAGGCTGACAGACACTGAATAGCCTCAGAAGTGACCATACCTGGGCAACGAGCTGTACTGCCGTTGAGCTTGTTGGAAACTCTCTCTTTCCTCTTGCCGCTGCCGCTGCATTTGAACCTCTACTGACACTGAGTGTCTGCCACTCTGCGAGTATGCCTTGGTGCTTGGCTACAAAAAGGAAACAAAAACGTCTTCAACAAAGCAGAAAAATACCCACAAAAGAGCTGTAATTTAGATTGCTGTTCTACACATACAGTTTTGTTTCAACATGCGGTTCGAGTAGCTTGTTGATAATAATTAGGTTAAATTCTGACCTGTAACAGTGTCCTGTGCTACAGATTCTGTTTCTGACGTACCATTTCTCAGATGCATTCTCCATTTCTCAGGAAAATATTGGTCCAGGTTGGGTTATGCTTTTATGGTAACACTGAAATTTCAATTAGTTCAGTGGAACAGATCTTCAGACACAGTAGGTTAGCCTAGCCATGGTAATGTTAAGTTTTACACCCCACTGAGGATCCCAAGGAGGAGGAAGGACAGCAGCTCTTTCAAACTTCACCAGGACACTCAAGTGCTGATCTCACTTAGTGGAGCCATCCTATTTTGCCGCTGGTCCAGATACACACTGCTTGCTTTTCTAAGAAACAGGGAAACATTTTCTGGTTTGATATGATCAAGTAGATACATTTAGTAAGTCTCTTGTGGATGATGGAGAATCCTGTATCTCTGAGGACTTCAGATAGCATCTTAATGATGTGACAATTTGAAACTTTGAGGCCAGTACTAAAAGTAAGTGAAAATGGATGGCCTTTCTGAGAATAGAGCATTGCTGGTCAAGATCTGGTGGAATGGTTGGACTCAAACTTCGGATTATGAAAAAGTTTCTTTTTGTAAAGGTCTCACTTCTCATTTTACATTACCACTTTCTTTAGACTGTGATTTCAAGCTGCAAAATAGGGTGTCACAAAAGTCAAAGAACATTATGGGTTTTTCTTGTTGTTTTAATAGTAAGATTTCAGCTAACAAAGAAACAGAGCTTTATCACTGTGAGGTTAGGGAGCAAAACCACTTGTCTGAGCCTGGGACTGAAACAGCTTGTTTCAGACCTGCTTTTGTTAAAGCACTTTTTGTCTCTTCATCTGTGCCTTCCCTCAAAACAAACGTCTCTTGGTTTTTGCCATTACAATTTCTCCAGCAGAAAGATATCATAATGGCTCTCAAATATCTGCAAGATAAATAGCTTTTCAAAAGCTCTGCACATGGAAAACAAGTCTTAGAAAGTAGGAAGTTGTCATTTGTGACATAAACTTCTTCTTTCTCTTACTATATATTTAAGTACCTGCAGGTAGCCAGAAACATAACAAATTTGTAACAGGTGTACAACTTTAGATGCTTCATTTTCAGTAACAGTATGCTTCAGACAGAACAGATCAATCTTGGTTCAGAATTTAACAGATACAACTTGGTGAAAACTGCCTTTTTTTCCATCATGAAAATATTATCATGCAAAAGAATCTGAATATGAAAGCATAGACTATGACTAAGGGAGAACTTATTAAATAATGAGAATCCTTAATGCAGCATTTATGTCTACTTCAGAATAGATTTACTCTGTAAAAACCTCAGTAAAACCTCCACTGAAAAGTGCTTTAAGAATGGTATGATGAAGAAACAAGTCGAGAAAACATAATTGTGTCAGCCTTGTAGGAAATTTTCTTAGAGATGAATAAGCTGTACATATGTATGTCCAAACCAACAGTCCCCATGGAGATCTCCTACTATATTAAATAAGGGCAACACATACAGAGCAGTACTTCAGTTATTGCATATGTCAACATTCCTAACTTTCTTGACTTTACTGAGAGTCTTCTGACATTTGGTATTTTATTGAAAGGCTCAGCTATGAAAGCAAGTTATTACCTGAAAATCACAAGATTTATTTGTGAATTCTCTCCAGTGTGGTTATAAGCAGCTTACGGAGAACCAGAGGGAAACTCAAAAGTTCCCATCTCAACTTCTCCATCAGGAATAAAAACATTTAAACCAAGGTTTTAGAGCCAATCTCCTCATTTCATAGGTTCCAGTTTAACAATGCTGGAAAGCCTGCAGCTACATTATGTCATAGGTGAGAAAGTAGTTATCACAGATAAGACATGAAATCAGAATTGCTTCTTTTTATTTGAAAATACAGTTTCACTTTTTTCAGCTCACTGTAATTATAACAGATTAAAGGAATTTACAGTACAGGGGAATGGTTAAATTACCAAATAGGTGGATCTAGAATCGAGCTGCTGTTCAATTTAGGATTACACAAGACACTAAAATGCATCATCTAGAAAGTGTGAAAGCAAGTACACGCACACACACACGTGTGTGTCCAAAGAGATGAAGTTACCATAAAACTCCTTACTAAAGTGAGAAAGGAAGCCCTTACAGGCTACAAATGGACTGAGATGAAAACATAGCTTCAGAGCTACTCTTTTTGGTGAACATAGGAAGCAATGGTTAAATAGAGGCAGGGGCTATCATGTCTGTCTGCCTGCTGCAGCGCATGCCCAGAATGACTGGACCTAAGGAATCAGGTCCAGATCCTCTGCAGTTCAGAAAGAATTTAATGTAATGGTCAGCATTTATAATTTGATGGGTCTAAAGGCAAACATCTAAAATCCATTATCTGATTTTCAGAAAGTATGAGTACTTGTATGCCCTGTTAAGTGAATTTGCAATACTTAACTAATCTGAAAAGGATAATTATTTAGAGTCTTGTCTGCATGTTGTTCACACCTACAATAAGCTGTTCATATAATTGAATTTGCTATGTGATTTCAAGCATCCAAAAATATGGCAATGAGACATAAAAATACTCCCTTTGTACGTAATCACATATTTCATAACATAACGTACATACATACACCCAAACAGGTACATTCAACTGTCTTATTAATAAAAAGGCCTTTCTTTCAAATTTTGTAATTGAAACCCTCAGTGATCCCATAGTAAAGGCCTTTGATGTATGGTTGTGCTGATATGAACTCTTGATGTACTACTTTTTGAAACCTTAACTTGGTCTCCAAAAGCTAATTGATAATTTTGTCTCAATCCCTAAAGTATAATTTAGTACTATATATTTATATAAAATATATACTCAAGCACACAACTATTTACGTGTATGCCCCATTTATTGACACAAAATGGAGGTAATTAAAAAAAAAAAAAGTTGAACTATTTTCACATCTTTCAGTGGCAACAAAATACATATATATAGTAATTTTAACACTGGTATCAACACAAGGCTAAGTATAATTATAACAACCTGAAATCATCCAACAAACCTGGCAACAGCTCAGTCTTCAGAGTACAGATTGATAAGAACTCTGGTCTTGTTTGCAATGAGACGCATGACAAGCACTGACCTTTTAAATCAAGATGGGGTCAAGGCCACAGCAACAACCAAGGCTGCATTATACAAATAAATGTATGTTCATGTCTTCCACAATACATTTATGTGGCAATGATAGCTACTGCATTCAGCATTGTTAAACAATACTCAGTGTGTAAAATTGTGCTTTAAGATACATGGAATTACACAGCTCTTTTACCAAAGAGGCAGTAATTTAAAACCAGGGCTGCAAAGTTAAAAGTTCCTACAGTTTTCTCACTTTATGCAAAAAAAAAAAAAATTCATTTCACAGTGAATATACCCTCCTGGCTCAATGTTGCACTGATCACGATCAGCAGTAAAGGGCAGCATATTTTAGGGATAAAGAACCCTCCTCTCCTTCCTACCTAAAGTGATGGTTGCCCACACAGTTTCTTTCCCTGCAGAGTGACGATTTGCCCATGGAAGGTAGCTCTGCATGGTGGCAGCACGGACCTTCCAAGACTGGCACAGATCAAAGTTACCACAGAATTAGAGAAAGAGGATCACGGAGGCAATCTATGCACTGTTTTTTCAGGTAGTTCCAATCAGTTCAGGTGACATGAGATCCACCAGTTGAGGTGATACATCCATCTGACAGTCTACTGCCACAGCGAGAAGCTGGGAGAAATGCTTACTCAGACTCACAGAAGTCCTTCATGTTGATAAAGAAACAGTTAATAGGGAGATTCGTGAAGGAACAAGTCCCTTAGCATTTTCCCAGTTACTAAAAAAGACCATCATTCTGGGAACTTTATAGACACAGGGCCCCCAAAATATCTGTGGTTCTTATAGTTTGGCACTAATTAGAAATAGATAAGATTAAATGACCTTGCCTGCTTTATGCATAAATGTACTTGGCACAGATGACAGACAATCCAGTAAAATGTATATAAAGATTCAGAATTATAAAAAACATTCAACAGTTCTGGTAGGTGTCCTTGAGAACTATTTTTACTTCCATCTTTATGTTGCTATGGTAAACTGAACATATAACAATATTTCTTTTAAAAATTGCCAACAAATGTGTGTATTAATTCAAACACCATATAATAAGAAAATCCCATCTCTTTGTGTATCCTTCTATGGTGTATACATAGGAAGCTGAATGGCAGGGTATGGGACAAAGATTTCCATTCTGTCTATAGCAGGAGCAGAAAGAAAATCTTCAGCATGGTAGAAACAAACCACTTAGCCCTGAAATTCTGCCTGGGTCACTTACATGTACTGCATGCCTGTGACCTATAAATGTTTGTTTACAAAGCAAAATTATTGAACTTATTTTTAAAATCTTCTATCACCATTTTCTATTTCACATAAATTAGTAGATTGAAACTAGAAGAGAAAAAAATTTGAAAATATAAAATTTCTAAGTCAGAGCCTAAATCACAGCAAGAAATTGCTGGTATTTCATTAAATCCTTCACAGGTTTGACACAGAATATATACTAACTACACAGCTGCCCTTCATAATTTTGGTTTCCTCTCTGAAACAGATTGGGGTAGGAGACACAGCAATTTATCTTCTAAGGTATTCTTTGTTTACTGCAATGCACTGTTAGATATTGCCTAATACCTTGAATAAAATACCCTGAAAGAGACTCTTGAAATGGACCATAACAGAAAGAATTAATACCTCACTTTTCTTTCTCATTAATATGTTGAGTAATTCTGCATAATTTACAGCCTGATACAAACTCTACAATGTTTGTTTTTAATATAGTCTGTTAATAATTTTTCCAGGTAAAGTTAATGTTACAGGCAAAGTTACTGCAAAAAAAAATCAGGCTTTTGTTTTTCTGAAAGATTTTTAGATTATTTAGAATTCATTATGGCTTTGAATAGGCCAAAGACTTGAATAGAGGGATAAGAAACAAGTACTATACACAGATGAAAAATATTTTTTTTTCTTTTAAATATGTCCTAGAAACAAAATTTATACACTATCATAAAGAAAACAAGCATAGTCCCTAAATTTTCATTTATCTATCATCAGGCCATGCCTAAGTATGTTTTTAGGACTTCTGGAGTATTTCCTCTATGAAAATCATGCAATTATTTACCTTTCACATATTTGTGCATGAAATTAAAGCTACACTCAGAGAAGTCAGGTAGTATTTTTATTTTGATGCAGTTATCTGTTATCTCTAGGAAACAAAAAAATTAATTAGACTCCTAAATATTTAAAGTAGAGTTTGCTTAGCTGCTCTCTCAATGCCAATTTTCTCCTATCATCCAAATAGATCTGTGATGATTGGAGATGAATGTATTTATGAATGGAATTTGCCACTTCCCATTTTTAGCACTGCTTTTACAATTAAAAATAAAGAAATAAACCACCAACTTCTGTCCTTCCTACATCTTTTTGGGGTCTTTTGATCATTGTTGTGCTTCTACAAGCAGGACTGGCAAGCAGTTGTAACATTTTCAACTGGATTTAACATGATCTTTTCTTTAATGAGTATTTAGGTCTATAATGCTGTGATTTTGTTATTGAAGGTGGGGATCTGCTAATTATGATGTGACTAGGGAAAAAGACAAAATATGTAACAAATTACAACCTAACTTCCCCAAACCCCAGGACTGGTACAAGGGAGGATAAACCTCAGTGGACCAAATACTACCTAGAAAAGAACAAAAACCAGAGGCTCAACTTTGGTACTAAACAGAAAAATCAGCCCCAAAAGGAGCCCTGTATTGGTTCAAAAATGTCATAGGACCAGCAAGAGCCTTAAATATTAGCACACATACTGCTATCCCATGCAGTTCTACACATCCAGATACACATTTCTGTAAATTCTAACTGGAATTAGCACCAGCAGGATTAAAACGGATGGATCATATTTTATGCTGTTTTCATCTTTTTTTTTTTTCCCCCTGTGTAATGCCAGGCGTACAATGTTGCCCTCTAAACCCTCTTGTAGCTTGTTTTTTGAAACACGAGAAATAAAAAAGCCATGTAAGAGAAAAAAATTTATGAAGCCTGGGGAAGTTATCTTAAAATAAACAAATGCAAAAACCTTTTCATAAAGCTTTGACTCAGTTGCAGAACTAGTGGCTTTTAGAGATGGCTCGATGTTGCAACATTTAGTCAGTTATTAAACCTTAACAGTGTGTCATTCAAATGGTCTTGAGCAGAAATGTTATGCTGCTTAATAGACAGTGTCATCTCATTCCAACACTATTGCTTTTTGTGCCTGTTCAGCCGCCTGATGCTGTATGAACACTTGTAGGCAGTCAAGTATTTTGTTTACTGGCAGGGCAACCACAGCTGGGCAAAAACTCCAGCTCTGTTGCATTGCTCATCTACAAAGAAGCAACATTCACCTGATGAGCACAGCCAGAAAGAGGTGGGGTCAGGTGCTGGTCTCTCTGCCATGGGTGTCACTCAGAGCCAGCACGATACAAGGTTCTGTGGTACAGCAATCTGCCTGCAACCCATGGGGAAGACTGCAGGTATTTGTCACAGGTAACTGGACTCCTGTGTCACAGGCCATTAATAGTCCGGGATGGATCTGAGTTGGTGACGTTCAGAGGATCATTTTGATAATATATTAGCAGGTTTCCTAGCTATTGAGCTCCTCTGACTATGCTCAGACCTGCCAGATTTCTATCAGTATCCATTAGTTACACTGCAAACTTTGGATTCATTTACACCTCTTTAAAGTAACCAATAGTCTCTCATCACATCAGCACTTTGTTCCCTACCCTCAACCCTCCCATCAGCTTGCTAATGAGAAATGCAAACTACTTATCACCTCATAGCACACACTTATCCAGGGATGGTTTTTTCCTCTCTTTCTATCCAATCCAGGTCAGAGTTGGCTGCTGTCATGCAGCTCAGAGGCTTCTCTGGATGTAAAGCCTTTTGTTTATGTAGGCTGCATAACCCATCTCTCTCAGGTGAAAACACACTTTTCAGCAATGGTCCACCCAGAGGTGTACTTTTCACTGCTGTGGTTTGTAACCAACAGCCTACAAATGGAGAAGATTGAAAAGATGTTGACAAACGTATCTCAGTATTTTCCTACATATGTATTACAAACCACTTTTGCATACTTTTGTGTCACTGGTATTTAATAATACATCTGGATCTGTTTTGAGAGGGTGTCTTAACAAAGTCCATCATTTTAGACTAATACGTAAAAGTAATACATGCTCCTTAAGAGAGGGGGTTATGGCTCCTTAACACTGAAATGACTGTGAACTGCTGAAATGGATGAGATCACTGCTTCATTCTTTCCAAGCACTGTGATCTTGAAAGGCTGGAGTACATGATGGAAAAAAAAAAATTCAAAAATACTGTGAGCCAATTTTTTTTAAAGTACTTATCTAAAATAAAACATTTGGTCACCTATGTATTTTAACAACAGAGCAGCTCCTACAAGAAACAATAAGCTTCAGAATTAATATTAATATATTAAGCTGAATTAGTCACTTTGAGCTAATTTGCATGATCTGTAGAAGGGGAGAAAATAGAGATCTCATTTGTTTGAATAAGAGAAAAAGGAAAGGTCGTTGTTCTGACCCACAATTTAGGAAATTATTCCATTCCTAAGGTAATCAGCCTGTCATCTAAATAATTCCCTCCTCGCTCATTAGAAGAAACAATAATAAAAGCCATGTTGCCTTTCTAAAGTTGCTATGGCATTTAGATATACAACAATTTGGCCCATGACCTTCAGTAGTTAACTTCCAAAGTCTTCAGGAGTGCAAGTTTTTCTCATACACAGTCCTCCCAAGAATGCTGCTCAAATCTCTCATTTGGAGACTAAACAGCAGTTGCATAATGGAAAGTATGGCCTAAAACAAGCCCTCTTTCACCCCAAAACTGTTACACTATAACTGTGATGAGCTATCACATTATCTACACCACATCGAATGAAAAACATCTGGTCTAAAAATAATGTTTATTTTATTTATTCAATTTTGGAGAAGGCTAAGGGTTTTCTAACATGGGAAAAGAGAATCCTATATCCCTGATACAGTATGTTAAGCAATGTTAGGTCGTTTAGGGATACACTTACCTCCATCGTGCATGTCAAAAATACCAGAAGTTGAAATTGGCGATTTTAATACAGCCAAAGACATAAAGGCCCAACAAAAGTAAAATAACCTTCTATATTCACCACAATAGGCAAACAAAGATGACATACGCGATATGATGTTACTCAGTTGCTCTCAATGTCATCGTACACACAGATGCACATCTTCACCTATCTCCACCTCAGTTTTGTGTGTATCACAATGCTAAGTAACAATAACCCACCACCTACACCCGCTTCAGAGGAAGGTGTCTGTAAATTCTAACTGGAATTAGCTGTCATCATACAGCTCCCGTTTTTTTGAACACAAGCAAATTGCTCACTGTCTTTATTGTGGAATCTTAAACAAAAAAAACAATAACGTATTTGTCCCATAATTAAACGATCTTAATTTAGGATACATAATTGATTAAAAAGAAACACTGATTCATTCAATTACATTAAACAAGATAAGCACATGGATTTACATAACTGTATCACCACACTAGATCAGATTGAACAGGATTTAAATGATCAGTTAGGACGTATATCTCGAGACAGAACCGTCTTAGCTAATGCAAGTGGCAAAGGGATACTATTGTGAAGCGTGCTATTCTGCATCTCTCTCCTTTTCTTACTGTGAAAATATATAGCTCTTCCTCTAAGGAAAAGAACTAATCACAGTGATATTGCTTTAGAGAAAATAGTATTTACAATGTTACATGTTCTCTCTAAATTATTTATTGTTAGCATGTGGTTTATTCTGATTTTCCTATAAAATTCCAGAATAACTGATACTACTTTTGAGGCAATAAAATCTAAGTAGTAACTCAAAGAGTTGAGGGTCTAAACACAGAGAAGATAATACAATATGCACATGGGGCAGATGGCTGAATATGTTTAAAAATGAAGTAAATATCAATAAACCAAAAATGGAGATAACAGAAAGGGCAAAATTGTGGAGGTGGAGGACCCTGAATCCCTACCGGTCTGCTCCCAACCAGCCCAGGGATAGTGGGAGTCAGCCAACCCTTCTAGATTTGACAGGCTCCACACACTTACCCATGGCTGCTCAAAACTGTAAGTACGTCTCCTGTCTTCCACGTCCTCATCTTGCTTTGCTTGCTGAAACTCTTGTCTCAGGCGCTGTATCCGGTCATGATTGTTAGGGGTTGATCTGTTGCTGAAAGGGGGAGGATGGAAATGATCAATATACTTTTGCTGCCATCTGTGACTGTAATTTCTTATCACTGGATTGCTAGCACTGTGCATGAGTACAAACTTAAAAACAATTTCCAAGCCTTTAGTACAAAAATCTTCTGTTTTTTAAAAGATGATTGATGCTGTCTGACTTCTAAAGAAACTTCAGATGGTGTAAGGATAGACAAATGAGGCTATTCCTAAAAATCATCAGAGGTTAGCAGCATCTTCTCAGTCTATGATACTTCTAGAAATGACGAGGAATGTATGTGTCAGTCAGGCTTAACATAAAGGGAAATTAAGAGAAAATTCTTAATGATCTCTGTAACAGAAGAAACATGAACAATAATTTTTTTCACAACCAGTAAACTGTAGTACCGCCAGACTTTTATCCGCATCAAATTCACTACAGTATCTGCTCTACTCACCTAAAATTTGATTATTTTACCCAATCAATAAGATCCTGTGATCCCCTAGTTCTGTTTTTAACAAGACTTCTAACCCAATGAGTCTGAAAGCATTAAAAGGCTTGGAGGCCAGTAAAAAGCAATCTGTCTGACAGTGTTGTATGCAGGATTTGGGCAGCAGACCAGTGCTGGCTGATGCCCCGTGGACACGATGGGCTGGGGAGGACACAGCCCCACGGTCCACCACAATCACTACGTACCAGCACGCCCAGAAACTTGAATTCTTCAACACCATCAAATTTTCTACTATGTTTATCCCAGGTAATTTGCTTTCCTTAGTGCAAGTTTATGTGAAACCATAATGAAATATGCACAGGAATGGCTTATTTCATGGGACAGAGCGAAAGTAGATATTTAGTAATCTTGCTGGCATTTTTCCAGCTGTGTGGCTCACACCTGAACTCCACAACCCCCACTTCATTTTAAAAATTAATATGGGAATCACAGGGAGCTTGACTAACCAGAAGCATGTCAATGTCTTATTATGGCCTTCTTAAGCCCTGCATTCTACCGTTTATTTCAAAAGAGCTGATGACGAATGGTCAGCTACTACTTTGTTTCAAAGGAGAAATCTGCAGGGACACAACAGGAAGCAATTCCACAGATTCCTGTTCTTGGACACAGAGTACAATAGAACACAGTGAATTTATATCCCATGTCTTCTCTCATATGAAAAAAGATATTTCTGGAGTCCATTTGTGACCATCTTCCATGTCTTTTTGGACTCGTGGGTGCAGTGGATTGGAGATGTAGGTATTTGAGATGTTACCTCGCATTCTTTTCAGTGCCATTAAATGGAGCTTCGTTTGGCCAAACAAAAAAAACCAATCATGGATCTAGCAAAGGCTAGTCTTTGAAGAGGTTTTGTTTTGTTTTGTTTTGTTTTTTTTTCTTTCAAACCGAAGGGAAAGAAAGGAAGTGATTTAGCAAAGTATTGGGGTTTTTTCTTCTTTTCTTTTTAGATGGGAAGAAATGCTTTATTTGCAGAGTAGGTCAACGTCTATGGGCAAATTGCCATTTTGAAAAGTATAGATAAAAAGAGTTTTATTTAGAACAGGTTGAAATGAAACATTGTGGCATTTTCAAAATTTTCACTTAATTGTAGGTGTGTTGCTAATTCTATTTTCTTAATTCAACATAATTTTGTGGAACAGCTTATCTCCATTTGCAGTTTTATGTTATGTAAATTTATTCCTTATTGTCAAATTCTGACCAGCTTTGCTATAAAACCACTTGGTTTTTTTTTCCATGTGCTTTGCTATACACTACACATTTCAAATACAATCATCACAATCCATCAGACGACATACTAAATACTTTTAAATGGCCTGTTGATTCTTAAAATTAGTATTGTTAATCTAACAAACAAGTAGTCCAATACCTTCTACACAGACAGTGTTTTCTGTAAGACAAATTGCACTTAAATGCAGCAAAATAGTTTAAGTACTAGTATTTCATGTACATCTGTCTGAAAGAGAAATACCATTGAACTTTGCTGCAAAATTACTAGAAAAGCGCTATACATAGACACCTTGAAGTACTTGAGATGATCAGTAAATAATCAGCCTTCCTTAATCAAGGTTGTTTCAAACTCCAAGGGATCACAGTGTAAAAGTGACACTGGAGCAATTATCCAACAGCAAAGAAAATCAGATAGCAAACCCAAAATGTACTGAACTGAGCCCTCTGCTTTGTAAGGAACAGAGACACTCTACCAGCCCCAACATGGGCTGCTGGAAGGATTACAGTATTACAGATCTGAGGACTTGTGCACATTTTGTGATTTTCATTAAAACAATTACACCAGCAGAGGTATGGCAAGCAAATGCATAGTGTCCATGCCATGAAGCCAAAATGTATGTCCCCTCCAGAACAGCAAATGTGGGACTTTGAAACTGCAGAGATGAAACAAGAAAGGGCAAGGAGGATCCTGGGATTTATGATTAACTTGTCTCTAGATTTAAGAAGAACTTACTTATTCTAATGCAAAAAAAAAAAAAAAAAAAAAAAGTCAAGCTGATTTAAGAAAAGTTATTCAAAGTTATTAAAAGGTTTGATAATGGCACAGAAGATAAATCTTTTAACAATATTTCTGTTTTATCTGAAAAGCAAGGGACATGACCCAAATTTAGAAAACTGCAAAAGAAGTGAGTAATAAAAAGGACTATTTCACAGAAAATTAAGAGCTAAAAAGACAAAACCACTTCTGTATCTACCCAAATTTCTTCCAACAACTACTACTTCCAGAAGAAGGGAAATGCAAATACCATAATCACAATAAGAAGCTGTCACAAATAAAATTTTGTAGTCAAAACAGCAAACATAACTTTATTCATTTCCAGGTCCTTAGAAGTTTTATCTTCCACTCTTTATGTACGTTACGTCATTATCCCTTGGGACAGATCTAAACAAAATATATCCAGTGTGAAGAGTCCTTACCAAGTCTAAAGCAAAATAAATTTTGACTCATTGGATGAATTCATCCAAGAGAGGTCATATCATAGGGTCATATCAACACACTGCTAGGATGTAGGGCTGCAGGTGTTCCTGTGGCTTAAACTGCCTTTTGACTTTTGCAGATGGACAGCTCAAGTCCTCAAAAGTTTAATTAAATGCACCATGTTTTGTTTGAGTTTTTCATTCAGATAAACTGAATATCCAAAGGTAAATTCACCGCAAAAGATTCAGTACTACTAGCAGGAAGGAAGGAGTTTAACTTGCACTTGCTATCCATCCAAAATTTATTGAAGATTTAACCTACGTTAGTTTTAAACTCTTCAGCAAAACTGTAATTACAATGCTTTATAGTAACCATAGCTTGCCCAGACAGCCTTTCCCTATGTCTACTTAATAAAAGGATGGTTGTGAACTTAGACAAGACAATTAGCACCTTCTAGCACCGAATTCAAGTGATGACTTCTTTCAAAGTGCTGTCATTTTTAAATATTCTTAAAAAAAAAAAAAATCCAAGGAAAGCCTTTTAGGGCCAAAGTGAACTTGGACTGCAGAGTGGTTGGGCTTCCTTGTATCTCATCTTTACTCAGCACTCCATTGCCTTCCATCTGCAGATGGCACGTTTCACAATCAGTTATTTTGTGAGTGCTGCTTTAAAACACACACTTGCCAGCAAAGGCTAAAAATGCAACTCTAAGCAAGGCTTATATAGGCCAGAGCTGTCACATATTTCCAGAAACAAGCAGCCGCAGCAATGACCATCAGAGTCTCAGATCATTAAGCAATGTCTCTGTGTGATGTCATGCACTGATGTACAGAGTTGTAGTCCTTTCAAAACAGACAGCTTCTCAGTGTGATAGATACAAACATGCTACTGACCAAGGATGACTAAACCTTTGGAAAAAAAATTTATTGGCCTGAAAAAGCATGGAAAAAGGTCTTAACAACATCACCAGGCAGTTGTAACATGACTAGAATAACCAAAAGGTTAGTAAACAAACAGTGTTCATTACACCTTGAAATGTTTTAACACAGATTGGAGCTGCCAGGGCCTGGCTGGCCTGACCGTCTGCTTAGATGTCTGGATGGCAGCTATAAAACACAGATGGGTTCTTATTTACTTCAAGCTGGCAATTAACTATCACCTATTTGTATAAAATAAATTCCTTTCCATTTCGACAGATTACTCGTGTCAAATTAAAAATCAAGAGCTGAATTTTAATCTACCTGTGTCAACAGGTAAAGAGAAGAAAAAGTTTATTTCTATCCCATTGAGGATTAACAATGTCCTCGCTCTGGTGACCGTGCCTTTGTTGGCAGCACACGTCCTTGCCAAAGTTCAGAATTAGCTGAATATCTGCAAAATTGGCCCCTTCCTTCACGGCTTGACCAGGATGAAAAGAGCCCAAAAGAAAGCAAAGTGTTTATAAGCTAATATAAAGCTTCTGCTACATTTAATGAAACTCAAGCACTCTCTTGCCATGTTGCTTACTTCATGCAGATGGATTTGTCTCTTTTGGATGGCCCTTGAGGGTGGGTAAGCAGAAACTGTTAAGTTGTTGCAAAAAGCCATGGATGTAAAATAAAATGAAAGTATGCACTTTACCAGGCTTAAAGTTAGCACCACACTCCAAGGCTTGGTCTGCTGGCCTGTTCACTTTAAACAGATTTGTTAACCGTCAGTGACACAGATGCCTGTGCCCACACACTGCGAGGCTGATGGGGGCTGAGCAGCAGCAAAGTATGCACCGTCTCCTTCCTGCCACCAGCTTGCCAGAGTAGGTTGATCTTTTCCTATTATTTTGTTCCATGGTTTATTTTTTGACATCTAAATACCAGTCCTCAAGCATACATTAGTGCAACCATTTGGCTGGTTCTCTCCTTCCAGTGTGCCCTACATATGGTCCTCTGAGACACCAGGGAATAGATTTTCCACAAACACATGGATATTAACATAGATAGACATGGTACACAAATAGGAGCAACCACAGCCAGCATCACATAAAAGAGATATTGTGTGATTACAGAATTGCTATAGTCTGAGAAAAAAAAAATCAGCTGA